AAGAATAAAATTTGGACATCCCTCTTCTAAGAATTCCAATTGAGTGTGTTAGTGTGGTCAGCTCAGGGCAATATGATATTATAAACACAGCACATATCACGTCTCTGCTGTTTATAACTTCATAGGAAAGAAAACACGCCATTAATAACAGTTTGAATGAGGAAATCTCTCCCAAGAGCAACAGGATTTTGCTGCAAGACAGGCATATGTAACGATGACTTAACGCAGCTAAACTCATGTTTCATTATATACTGTTCTTCTGACAACAGGCCAGCGAAAAATCTAACAGTCTACAGCAAAACCATCAATTATTATGTTCGTTATAACATAGGTGTGCAGCTGGACGATACATAGACGTCGAACCCCCGCAGACGATTTAAATACCTTGACAAAACATACACGTCAAACCACGCTGAACGGTTAACAAAAGAAAATGTTTAAGGTGGAATCATTCTCAGAGCCATTTTTCAACAGTAAAGTGAATTTGAGACATGAGTCAGGAGGGTTATTATTTCTTCAATTAGCAATGCTTTTGGAAACTGGCCTTTAAAAGGGACAGCATTCTTTATGCTATACTCATTACTTTTGTTGTTTTGCTGAAGGCCCCATGTCCAGTCATCCCTTTCCTTATATCTGTAACATCTTTTCCACTCTGAACTTAACCCTGAAAATGGAAGCAGCCTTTCCTCAGAAACATTTATAACTTTGGTAATAATCTACCAGAGGACTTGGCATCAGATATCTGAAGATAGAATTCTTCATAGTCACAGCTGTTAGAAACTCAGATTTCACACAGTTGTTGTCTGGGATGTGATGCTGTTCAGTTTGGCAGATGGGGTACCAGTGTTCCAGAGGAACCTCCATGTTTAGCCTAGAAGATTTCTATGCTCTAATTGGCAGAATTCACAGTTGAAGAATCCTCTTTGTTAGCCCTGTTGTCCTGTCATGTTAACCTTCATTCTAGTCATAAATATACATAAGATCCAAAGGAGATCTACTAGCTCGATCACTTGGGCCTAACTAAGTAGGCTTTCACCTGAAGACGGAGACAGAATCCAGTCTCTGAAATGTTGTGTTTTAAATAAAAAAAATAGGACGATGGATAATGTCAAAGAACACAGTAACTGTAAATGTCCATATTTTTGAATTGCTTCTAAGTCCATTACTGCTACTAACCTTCATTTCATTCTGTGATGTTGCTCTATATAGTTTCATTATTGCCACAGCTGAAGAAGGATGAAAGGCTGCTAATGCATAGTGTATGGGCAAAGCTGCCGAATAACCATGCTGTAGCAACTGATAAATCTTTTTGGTTATAATTGTTACCGGTTGATATACAAGCTTTTAAATTCCATTGCTTAGATTAAATTTCCTTGTGTGTATTTAACATACCAACTTTTGCTGTAGATAAGTGCAAACAGCCTTGCCAACTAAGACACCTCCAGACACATTATTAATTGAGTCATTAACCCGTGAATGGATTGTCAAAAATAAGTTTTGGATATATGTATATTTTACAAAATAATTGCAGAGACATATATTGTAACGTGTTTCGAGTTCGAATCTCGTTGGTCATGTGTGTAAGTTCGTATCCCACTTCTGACACCAATGTAACGTGTATCGTCACTGAAGACGCTGTTCGGATTGTTAACTGGTTTATTCAACAACCTACAAGTAACGGCTACAATTAATTATCACACAGTTGCGGGGTTTCACACTTTATAACCCTAATCGCATTAATCTGTTTACACTGTTGCGGGGTTTCACGATTTATAACCCTATTTGCAAATCAATTCACTCTTCAGTAGTCTGCACATTTACAGTAAGGGAGCTATACAAGTCTCCCAATCAATTCTCAGTTATCACAAACTGTCACTGATTATCACACACTTTCACTCGTAACTTGCCGCTGGCTAGATTCCAACTCTACTCGCAGGCTGCTGCCTTGAGAACTGTTGATAACACACTAACTCTCTCCGAGGACGGCTGCAAGTTAACTTGACTACAACTGAACTCGCCGACGGCCACATCACAACTAACTCACGCTTACTGCTCAGCCGGCTTTTATTCTGTTTGCTGTTTCCTGTTGCCCGCGTCAACAGCGTTGTTGCGTGCCACGTAACAGTGTCTGCGTACAGCCTAGCAACGCTGTTACCTCACGCCGTCTTACGTCACCGCTGTTGACTTGCGTTGCATAGCTACCAGGACGCTGGGACTCGGCTAACTTCAGCTCTGCTCAGCGCGTCAGCTCCGGGGGGGGGGTCCAGCTAGCGCGACATGTCACGATATCATTTTATTCAAGTTGCAGGATTTTGGGTCCAGCTGTTTTATTACATTTGTCTCTTGATAAGTTAAAAGAAAATTACAGAGAAATCATAACATTTTGTTTTAGTCACATCACACCATCACGTTGTTTATTTCCTGAGCAGTATTTCTTAGAATAGGAAGTTTTGAAGAGTTGTGGCACTGAGGTTCAAGTTCTTGCAGCAATATTTCTGCCATTATAGTTTATAATTGTGATGTTGCTAGGGAGAAGGAACAATTAATGGAGATAATCATTCATTTCAAGTTGCGGTGAGTGGAATAGGCCTCGATTATGTTAGCTTCTGATTCCATTTTCTGAGTTATTAGGAATGGGGTAAACTCTGTAGCACAGCACTGTTATATGGTAGAGGGAAAATCATTGGGTACAGCCTTTCCCTCTCCTCACTTCCAGTGAACCTGTATTGTTATATATGTAACTACTGTTGCTACTTCTGCCACTGCCACCGCCACCTCTCTTCTTGCAGCATGCTGGTACTGATGGGAATAGTAGCAGTGAAGCCTGAAAAAGTCAGTTTTAATACTTGGTTCTGTTAGAATGAGGTAATGAAGTTTCTTGTGTTTTTCAGAGCCAGGACAGCCAGCCTGCAATACTGAAGGACCTTCTTAGAGAGGTGTGCACCCGATTACAAGAACAGGTGGGTGACTATCCCTTTAATACCCTGCATAACTGATGCAATGAGAATTTATAGAATTTTTAGAAATGGCCATTCTGATGGGTACTTGTAATATCCATAAGTGGCTGAAGTACGTAATCTTCCAAGTCTTATCTCCTAACTTCTCATTAGGTGTATCACATCACAGAGCTAAGGTTTAAGAACGTTAATGCAAGTACAGCGATATTTATTCTTATTTTATCATGGAGCTATGAAAATGACAAAGAATAATTCAACATCTCAATGCCTTTAACATTATCTCAATTGAGATTTGAAAGATTTTTTTCATATTTACATATCTCATATACTCCTAACCAACCACGTATTAGGAGCTGTCCTATACAAAAAGAAGCACTGTACTATTTGCTGTGTGTCAGCAACACATGAAGTTAAAGTTGAAACAACTTGTATGAACACTGTGTTACAAATAGGTTCTAAACTCAGCAGAGTTGCCGAACACTTAAGGCATATAAATTTCCTTTCTTGCTTTGAAAAGGTGATGCATCCCAATGGAATGTGGAAAGTCCTTGGTCTATAAACATGTTGTGAAATGATTATGTTTGCCTTGTTCATTGGACTATCAACCAATCTGGCAGCCCATCTTCCATCGCATAGAACAGCTTTTAAAATCTCAATTCTTTTGTCCTTATCCTCCTAAATGGTGAAGAGCACTGAAAAATATAATCCATACTCTGTTACCACATTGTTATTTGATGAGCTGTTGACTTACTTCAAGCTTAGTGCTCAGATCTGAACATTCCTATTATGTTACCATCATCAGGGTTGAACACTATTTAGTTTAACACATGAAACACAATAATTGAAGATTTTTCAACTCCTGTTCACAGTACACAATGAAACAAGTTGCTGGGCTGAAGGGAAGTGCAGAACATATGAGTATAGTGTCATAGACGTTTCTCATTGGCTAACATTTGGAAGGAATTTGACATGGAAGTTGTCAGGTCATGCTACATGCAGTCTTAAAACCATTGTCCTCTATTGGTTCTGTGTAATATTTTGAGGAGTCATCCATTGTTTTCCAGTGTTTTCATGGGAATTTGCATGTGTGATGAGCAGTTCTGCCTCAAGATTTTGTCTATACAGACATACAGTATTCAGGTTCTTGAATTGGAATTTTCTTCCCCTAGACAAGAGAGAGTTCCAGAGGATGGATTAATTGTACCATATGGACTACCTGCTGTAAACAGTGTGGAATGACTGCAAGTGCAGTTAGTGAAAGTGTCACAGAAAATATCATGGCTAGTTAGCAGTCACTGATAATGATGAACAGACCTTCATTTTGTGTGACATGTTTATATATATATATACACAGGGTGTTTCACGACTTTAGGGTATAACTGCAGGAGGTGATTTCCTAGGTCTTTATGATCAAAGAAGTTCATATAAACATATGTCCGATTTTGGACGGTTACGGAGTTATGACCGTTTTGAACTCAGAATAGAAGGTAACGATTACTGACAATAAATGGAACAAAATAATAAACCAGCATAATACATGATACATTTAAAGTATGAATGTAAAGTTAACTTCGTGAAATTACCTTTAATTTGAATTGATTGGTGCTTAAAGCTGATTTTTGAAAATGCCACCAGCGGCCGCAACACAGGCTGCTGCTCAGTTGTGAACCACGCAGGTAGCACGTAGCAGCTTCAGCTGGCTGTTTCTTGTGTGGTCAGTGGCATCCAGAATGCGACCGAGCAAAGCGTCTCGCGTTGCCACCTTCACATTGTAAACCAGTTCTTTCATCCATCCCCACACACAATAATCCAGTGGGCTTAAGTCTGGAGACCTGGCTGGCAATTCTTTGCGTACTCGTATGTGGACTGCGGTGTACCATACGAACAATGCCTTCTTTATTGACGCCTTCATTAACACCACGCTCGGCTGCAATACAAACGCCGGGAAGTTACCAGTATCTCGCAATGCCTGGGAAACTCCAGTAAACACTCTCTGGTTCGGTATTCTGTGATTCGGAAACTGTTGCTGATACTCAGCTACGGCAAGAACTGAGTTACCGTCACAAAACCTGTACACACAAATCATATCTGCATACTCCTCAAATGAAAATGTAAATGGCATCGTGAACATAACATATACACTGAGATGAGAACTGTTCTGAACACCAGTAGCCGCCACACTAGCCCTGGTCAGAAATACCAAACCACCACGCCTTAGGTACCTCTCAAGTGTCGAGATAACGAGAACCCTCTGTAGCTGGCTAAAAATAGTGATCCGCCAGATGATAGACACAGTTCACATGAGGGCGTGTACGGGAATGAAAAAACGGTCATAACTCTGTAACTGTCCAAAATCGGACACATGTTTGTATGAACTTTTTTGATCAAAAAGACCTAGGAAACCACCTCCTGCAGTTATGGCCTAAAGTCGTGAAACATCCTGTATATATATGTAACATTGAAAATTGATGTGTTAAATGATATTTGTCACTCTAATGAAATTCTCATTGAAAAACACACATATGGATGTGCTATACTTGTCTCACCTTGAGAACCTTACTTCTTGACACTGCTTCCAGGAAACATTAAACTGAAAAATGTTTCATAATACCTTCCAGTCGAGATTATCTATAGTTTCATTCTTAATGTTGATTGTTTATTTTATTAACTGATGTTGATGCATGTATATTAAATGCCCTTTGCTTACCATGCCTACACAAGAAATCAAATTTAGGCAAGAATGCATGGAGGTAAGAAAAGATTGTATGGAATTGTCAAGTGTTAGTGATTAGATGCGCAGTTTAGATCGATAATTAGATTTATTGGATGTTTAGGACAATGTAACTAAAATAATGAAAACACTGTTGCTAATCTACACACATTACAAATCACTATAGCACACACTGACACATTTCACTCTGTTATGTCTTCACTAGTCATTGCTAGGTAACGGCTCCTAACAATGAATATTTCTTTGCTTCCATACTCATGTCCTTGCTGGATGGAGACTGGCTCACAACTAACTAATGACCTTACCATGAGTGGACTAACCCACTGACTGCTAAATTGCTGCTGGCCCTTGCCAGCACTGTGATTTTAGTTCTGTTTACCACAGGACTCATGACCTTATTTTATCATCTGATAGCTCTGGGAGCCTTCCAGATTCCACTGCCACTAACCTTGACTACTGACTTGACTAATGGATGTGGACTGGTTCACAACTAACTCATGACCTCCTAACCATGAGTGACTAACCCACTGACTGCTAAATTGCTGCTGGTCCTCGACAGCACAATCATTGTTGGTTCTGAATCCCACAGGACTCATGACCATATTTTACTCTCTGATGGTTGTGGGAATCTTCAGACTCTTTGCCACAAACCACTGTAGTGCACACTAACTGATCTCATTCTGTGATGTCTTCACTATTCATTGTTAGGTAACAGCTCCTAACAGTGAATATTCCTACCACTAACCCAGTCATTGTCAGAGTCACAGTCACAGTTACTTTACAACTGGTGGTTTACAGCCAATCTGTTTGTCTTGGCACCAAGCCCCTTCAGACTCATGACAAATTTTATTTTCCACCTGAGCACTGGCAGTTATAATCCTTATGTATCATCCTCTCTAATGAGAGGATGGTATTGTCATTTACAATTGCCACTAGTCCTTGCAAGCGCAGTCATTCTCAGGCCTGAGTGCCGCGGGACTCGTGACCACGTTTTAATGTCTCAAATTCAAAACTCCTCCAACCTGGAAGGCCAGGCCCCGATATTTATATCCCCTAGGAACAGGTTACTCTGGTTGTACCCTCAGGCACTGGGTTCCCTTTTCGTTGTTTCCTACGATTCTCAGGGCTACAGTGGAGGTATTCGACCCTGCCTCCACATGGGAGGAGTCAAAGCTATGTTATGACCGATGGTCGGTTGGTGGCATGGACCATGTAGAAAATACTACGTTGACTAGCAGTGGTCCAGCAGCTCCTCTGTTGTTTCATGTGCATTCGTTGCTGTAGACAGTTGTTTACTGTGGTGTTGCCTAGCAATGGCAGTCTGTTCTGGCTCCACCATTCAGGCCTTCAGCCCCCATGTGACAGTATGCTATCTTAATTCATATTTTTTCCTCAGCAGCTCTTATGATAGTGAATATCCAATATAATGAGTATTTCAGACGTACTTCGTATTAACAGTAAATGTTTTGATTTAATGTGTGGCCTGTACTTTGAATACTACACTACAGGCCTGGGCTGACCCAGGAGGGTAGCAGTACAATAGAAATGAAGAGGAATGATATTCTAGCAAAGATGGGGTGGGAAGATTAACCTGAGTGGAAGACTGAAGTTGCTGATCTCAGTGCAATGTAAGCAGAAATATATGTCCCAGATGTATGTAAATTTGTATGGAGACAGAGAAGTCTGAAGCACATTGTGAGCTTTAACTGAACATGTTGTGTATTATGAGTATGTAGAGCACTAAAACTGGCAAAGCTTGCTGCTTCAGAGGAATCATTTAGTCATGTTCTATGTATGCACTGAACCTGATATTATCAGCAGCACTGTACTGACTAATATATGTTGCTGCACCAAAATGTGCCTGTTTTATCATTGTTATGGTGTTAGTATCAAAGTGATATACTCTGAAAGTGAATTGTATCCTTGTGCCTTTATCCCATGAACATGTGAGAAATTTACTGCAATCAAATGGAAATTTGATTAGATGATTTTGACACACTGTGGACTGGTATGCCCTTCTGATTATGTATATACCATGTTCCAGAATACTTTACATACATTTTGAAGTTGCAAATGATCTTTGGAGGTGAATTGTGTGGAAACTGCATGTAGGGGGTTCAGCAGTGCTTCATATAATGGAATCAATTAATACAAGAACCTCTGTGTGGTGGAATACAGCAGAATTTGCAAATATGTTACATTTCACTGTGTTTTTTGTGTGCAGTGCACATCATACACCATCTTACTGGATGCAAGTACTTTTTGGTTAAGTCCCCTGATAGTCTGTTTGAAATGTCCTTTTACTCCCATATGGTGTTGGTCTCTTCACTGGACATTGAGCATTGTCTGAACTGGACTCAGTTTTGTTATATTTCCTGGATTCTCTGCTCTTCTTTCCCAAGTTCATTAGTGTTGACTCATGAGTTGTTCCAATGATGTACACCCCTTTTTGTCTTTACGATCTTGGCCTAAAATATCCCACTTTCTATGCAGAAATGATTGCCTTTTTGTCATGTTTTGAGCTTCTCTTTCACGATATTGTGGGGTTCTCTGCTTGTTCTCATGGAACCATGAACTCCAGTTTTTCTTTGTATTAAATGTTCACACAATTTTACACTGTTGTAAAAATTGTCATGATAAATGTGGTGGTGGTTTATATCCCTGTTAATTTACAGAGCTGAGAATTGTGTTTTGCTCTTCCCTGTCAGCTGTGTATGTATCAGTGCAGCATATATATCCTGATTTAGGGTCTCACACCATTTTCATTAAGAGTCCTTATTATGTCTTTATCAGGTGAGAGTTCTCTATGCAATGTGTAAATTGATGTAAACTTGTGAAGGAGGTACAGTAGAGTTTTAGTAGTTCAAGGTAAGTGGGACCAAGGTTGCGTCAAACTGTTGAAAAACTTGAACAATACAGAATATAATCCCCCTTACCCAAAAAGGCAATTTATAATGTATAAGATTTTATTAATAGTTATATGTATATGGTACATATTTACATATATTATAAAGAAGTCATAAGGCTCCCTGTTAATTTAACACGAAAAAAAGATATTTGTTTTCTTTTGAAATTGCAGTCAAAAGTGACTGCAAAATCACACCATCTTAAGGAGTAAACAGCAGAAAATGTAACCTTGGACAAACAGAACCTTGAATGGGCAGGACTCTGAACTATCAAGACTGTACTGTATTCATAAACATGTTGAATTTTGAAGAGGCTGCCCAAGGTTTGTGTGTGCTGGATGCTGTCTTTAAGCGAAGCTTGCCAGGTAGCCTCGGAACGGTTTCTGCTCATGGTGTGGGGAAAAACTGGTGTCCATATTGTGGGGGTCACTTGACAAGTAATCTTTCATAGTGTTGTTTCTAACTTTCACAATAAAAATTATTAGGTCTAAAGATTTTAATTTCAGAAGTAGTAATGTTAGACCACTTCAGTGTTTTAGGTGATATTTTCCATCGGTGAGCATCCTGACTGTGGCAGAGAATAGACTGGTCTGTAGAAAGTTCTGCAAGTTCACAAATTACATCACTTCAGTAACGCTATCAGGGTTATTAAGAATACAGTGAACCCAAGTGTTGAATTACGTATTTTCATCATTATTCTTACTGAGTGGTTCAACATCATTTCGAAAAGCAGGACAAGATTGCGACTATTTACAGCCCCCATTTTAGACCTCGCCTGTAGGTTGCTCAGGAGAAGTATGGCAAGAAGTAGCAGGATAACAGTTGCAGCTGCAATGTAGGAGGTAAAGTGACTTAAGGCCCTTCAGTAACCACATATTACTCTCCAAATCTCAGTGGACTACAGCAGACCCATTATGCATTCTGTTAAGAATGGTCAGGTCTGTAAACACAGACAGTACCTTAACTAGTGGAGGCTATGGTGGTGTCCAGGGTTTCTGCTTCAGTACTTTTGACAGTGTATACATCAGGAAACTGATCTCCATGAAGTTCCAACACAGTGTTGTCATTGGCTGTAACATCGCTACCCAAATACATGTCTGGTTCTACAGAAAATCATAAAGAAATAAGCGGAAAGCATGGAATGAATGCACTGTTTTGTATTCGTACTGTATATAAGGGCATGGGTGCAAGTGGCCTGTATCTGGTGGGAAGCAGAGCAACATACTTGACTCTAAGCAAACTGAGCCCATACATTCATTTCCATGTGTAATAAAGCCAGACACTGGTCTTTATCTTGAGCTGGATGAATCCAGCCCATATTCTTAATCCTGTTTATCTGAAATTGAGATTTTAAATTTGAGAACCTTGTTGTCTTTAATTCAGTTGGTATTTGCACTGTACATCCTTAGTTGTTACCATTATGGCAGTGATGTATTCTTACAATATAGTATCTTGCTGACAGCAACATGTTACAACCTTATGTATACCAGCAAACAACACAACTTCCCCCCTCCACACTTTTATGCTGTTAAGTAACACTGTGTCAAGCTTTATTTCAGAGTTGTCATAGTCCTGGATTTCTTCATAAAGAATACATAAAGGGTATAAATAGAATGGGTGAGTGGTTGTAATATGAAATGTGAATGATATGCAAAGTACTGATGCCTGTTCTGGTTCAGTAAGCCAGTAATGGCAACTAGCAATCCAAATTCACATATCAGAAATAAGCTGGTTTATATACAGAGTAATAACTGGTATATGCTCCTAAAAGCGGTCAAAGGGTCACATGGTGTCCTTCAAAGGATCTTTCAAATGAAGCAGGAAATATAAATAGGCAGTGGAAGGAGAACCACAGCATGCAATGGGAAAGATATTTGTTCCTGACTATGCTGTATGTTCTGTTTACAGAGACTGCAGTCAGTACCAGAGTGTGGATGATGCCTACAGATCAGCATGACACAACATACATATTCATATCCCTCCAGGTTCACAGACCCAGTCTCCATTTTTCAGTATTTAACCACTAGAACAACTGTACTATTATTAACAATGTTTGGGTTATTTGTTAATGGTGCTGTCCGTAACATACATTTTTGATGTAGTGGAACTGCTTACATTTCTTCATATGATTAACAGTTTTGTCCTCTCCAAGGGAATACTTATATTAAAATTGTATGTCATTTATGGCATATAATTACATTGTAAATAATATGCTACTTCTGAAAAATATGCACATTTTATTAAAATTACAATCTGCATAACATGTTGTTTGTTACATGATGCTACCTTATTCCTGTTTTAATGCATTATTTTACTGTGAGATGAGAGGTTGGTAGAAAAATGAAGCAATAGTGGAAGAAGCTGAGAACAACTAAGTAATGTAAATGCAATACTGATTTGTGAGGAGGAAGTGTGAGAGGAAGGAAATGGAAGCAAGAAGGGTGATTGAGGCAGAGGAAGACAAAGTAAAGAAACCGTGAAAATGGCAGTTTAATGGGTCCTTAAAAGGAACAGGAACAGTGAAGAAGCACAAGGTGGAGCTGGAAGTAAGAACACAGTGGGAGAATAAAAGAGAAAGCATAAGAGTTTGGAAATATGAGGATGAAAGGTGGGACATATGACAAAGCAGAAGAGAAAGAAGCAGGAAGATGTGTATGATGAAGCAAACAGAAGAGGGTGGAGGGAGGGGGGAAGGAAGTGAAAGAAAGGAGGACAAGCTGTACAAGATGACATTCTTAGTATTCAGCACTAGGAAAATCTCTGATCTCAGTGTATGCATAATTGTGTATGTATTTTATTGTGTGTTGTAATCACTCTCAGCCGAATATTGCAGCACTTTGCAACGTGACATTTCGGTGAGTCAGCCACTATACAATGTAAAACACTACATCATACATGAAGGTTAATACTTCACACAATCCAAATTTTTTAAATTTGCATGTACACGAGAATTTTGAACATAATAAAAGTTCTTAAATTCTGATATCCAACTTACTACAGTCCCCCAGGCAATGTCACGATGCAGTTAACTTGGGCACATCAGTGGGATTCAGCCACAACATTCACCTATGACTCCTTAGTCATATCTCCTATACATAACAGAGGATAAGTGAGAGATATTCAAAACTGTTCATTGTTGGACTCATTTGTATTGTGTGTGTTAACACTTCCTGGTTTCAGTTTGATTCCCTAATATGTAGGTGCATCATGAACACAGACGCTGGAACGTACCGCTACTGACTTCATACTTACTGGATACTTACATATCTGACACAATAATATGTGGGAAAACATTGAATATCTTGCAGATCACAAATATGCCACATATTAGAAATTACATAACACCTTGCTATAGAACTGGATAAAACAAACTTCATGTAGCTGAGCCCTTCTTGTGAAGCCTCCAGTTGTGCAGCTATTAAAGAACTTTCCAGCATGTTATGGAAACCAAAGGTTCATTACTCTGTCCACAAGAGCCTCCACTGGTCTCTATCCTAAGCCAGATCAATCCAGTCCATACCACCATATCCTATCTAAGATCCATTTAATATTGTCTGCCCAGCTACAGCTTGGTGTTCCTAGTTGTCACTTTCCTTCTGACTTTTCCACCAATATCCTATATGCATTCCTCTTCACCATAATTTATGCTACATGCCCTGCTCATCTCATCCTCCTTGACTTGATCATTGTAATTATACTTGCAGAAGAGTACAAGTTATGAAGCAGTTCTTTCCAACCACCTGTCACTTCATTGGTCTTTGGTCCAGATGTTCTCCTCAACACCTTCAGTTTGTGTTTCTCCCTTAATGTCAGAGACTGAAGTTTCACACCCATACAGAACCACAGGCAACATTATAGTTTTGTGTGTTCTAATTTTTGTTTCTATACATCAGACAATAAGACAAAAGGTTCTAGACTGAAATTAGTAGTGCCATAAAAAGTTTGTCATCACACATCTCACCATCTCACATAGTGTCTTAACTCTGTTCTTTTGTTTTGTCAGCACTAACTAACAACAAGGAGCTCAGCCCTTCTTGAGAAGCCGCCAATTGTGCAGCTACTACTTAAGAACTTCTCAGCAGCTTATGGAACCTGAAAGTTCATTAGCTTTTCCACTAGAGACATCCACTGGTCCCTATTCTGAGCCAAATCAATCCAGTCCATACCACCCCATTCTGTCTCTTTAAGACCCATTTTAATGTTATCCATCCACCTCCATGTTGGTCTTCCTAGTAGTTTCTGCTTCCATTTGTGCTACATGACCTGCCCATCTTATCCTTCTTGACTTAGTCATTCTATTTATACATGGCAAAGAGCACAAGTTATAAAGCTCCTCATTATGCAGTTTTTTTCTAACCTTGTGTAACTTCATCTCTCTTTGGTCCAAATATTCTTCTCAGCACTCTCTTCACAAACACCCTCAGTCTATGATCCGTAATATGAGAGACAAAGTTTCACACCCATACAGGACCACAAGCAAAATTACAGTTTTATATATTCTAATTTTTATGTGTTTTTAGACAACAGACCAGAAGACAAAAGGTTGCGGACTGAATGGTAGCAAGCATTACCTGAATTCAGTCTCATCTCAGTTTCCTTGTGAATCAAATTTTGATTTGATTTGTAAGATTTGACATTTTCATGGCTGTGACTATGAAGAATGCCGTCTTCTGGGATGTGGCGCAATGTAGATCTTGTGCGAACTGACATTTCGAAGGAACATATCGCTTCCATCTTCAGGGTAGAAAAATCTGAGTGAGGAACCAGCACGAGCAAGTGGCTGCAGATGGAGACTATATGTTCCTCCGAAACATCAGTTCACACAAGATCTACATGGTGCCACATTCCAGAAGACAGCAGTCTTCAAATTTTTATTTGTTACTGTTGTTCCCAAATATTTGAACTGTCATACATTTTCAAAGCATCTGTTAGATATTTGTATGTCATGATTTTGCATTGAATTCTGGTGATGAAACAGCACCATATACTTTGTGTTCTGTGTTTACTTCTAGATCAACTTCCTTACTAGCATCATAATGTTTGTGTTTTTCTTTATGGTATCTATGTTATCACCCAGTAGATTCACATCATCAGCATAGACCAGTAGCTAATGTGTCCAATTTAATTTTGGGCCCACCTGGTTTTCCTGGACCTTCCTAATAGCATATCTAAAGCAAAATGGAAAAGGACTGGTGATAAAGCATCTCCTTGTTTTAGACCATTCTGGGTAGGAAAATTATCAGGCAAATATTTACTTATGCAGACTTTGCAACTCATTTAAACACATTATACTCAGCCCAACCAGTTTCATGTGTACCCCAAACTCTATGTGAATATTGTACAATACTTACTTCCTAGCAGAATCATGGGCTTTCTCGAAACCTACAAATAGCTGATGTACTGTCTCATTAGGAAATGAGGAAGGGAAAGGCTACAGGAGATGATGATGTACCTGGAGATGTGCTCAAGCTACTGGGAGAAGGTGGTTTGAAAACACTGACAAAACTAATGAACACCATATATGAAAGTGGAGAGTGGCCCAAGGACTTTACAGAAGTTACAATGATTGCCTTAAAGAAAAAGACAAAAGCTACAAAATGCAGCGACCATCGCACAATAAGTCTTATTGCACATACAGCAAAGATAATAGCAAAGATACTTAAAAGAAGAATTGAAAGGAAAATAGAGGATGTACTTGGAGAAGATCAGTTTGGATTTAGAAGAGGAAAAGGAACCAGGGATGCAATTGGGATGATGAGAATTATAGCGGAACGAACTTTGGAGATAGATGAAGAACTGTGTG